GAAACAAACTGAGTAAGGAGTGTATAGGAATTCTGTGTACAGTTTTTGCAACTTTTCTGTAAATTTAAAAGTTTTCCAAAATAAAAAGTTTATTCAAAACAGTAACGAAAAAGGTCTACCTGAGAAACTCAGAAGTTGCTTGTGACCATAGAACAGAGCTTACAAATATTTATCAAGTATGTATCATACCATGTCTAAATTTGTGCTCCAACTTGTTTCAAAAAAGGTGGGAGGAATTATAGTTTCATATAATAGTTGTTGTAGTAATAAAAGCAGTTATAATGATACTAACATTTTTAAACTTAGTCACTGTGCTGCGAAGCTTTGTGGGTTATGTTATTTAATCCTGCACCAGCCCTATGAAGTTGGTGCTACTGGCCTCATTTTACATATGCACAATCAAATACATTATTGAATGCCTCTCAGTCACAGAACCTGTGAACACTGGAGATAAGTGTGAACCCAAGCCTACTCTTGTGTTATGTTTATAGCAAAATATCCCAAAATAGAATGTTTAGCCTTCAAGGTATATTTCAATAGGGGTCTTTGTATATGTATCTTTTTCAGTGAACATTAAAAGTTTTTCTTTTTTCTTAATTACAAAAGTATCACTGAGAATGCTGACAAAGTAAAATCTAGAGAGGATGTCTGTTAACATTTGGTTCATTTCCTAAGTCCTTCCCCCCTTTTATTTTTCAAACAAAATTGGGATCATACCTCATGTATTAATTTGTATTCTGTTTGTATGTAAATGACATTATATAGTATTATACTATGCATTATACAGTATAGCATTATACTATATTACATAGTATACATTATATAGTATGACATTTTCTGTGCTAATGAAAACATGAGTTTGAGTTCCTGTGTAGTGTTCTGTTGCCAGAATATGTCCCAAAATCTATTTGCCTATTCCTCTTTTATGGCCTAAAACTTAATTATTATGGCCTAAAAAAAATCACAACATTATGATGAATATTCTGTATAACCCCTTATGTACATCTCCCTAATTCCTCAAAATACATTTTTAGAAAGCAAATTAACATATCAAAATGTATACACATTTTTAAGGCTCCTCATACATTTTTTCATATTGTTTTAAAAGCTAAAACAATTTTTAGTTTCACTAATAACTTTTAAGTATTGTTCTCATCATGAACACTTCATTCCTAGGTATTAATAACTTTTTTGGCATATATTTGTTCTCTGAGATACTTAAAATAGTCTAATCTATTTTATAGTAATGCCTTATAACTGTTACTGGCCAAATGACAACTGGGCCAAGGTTAGCATCATCCATTTGTTAAATCTTGCTTGGAACAGGAATAGTTATGGTCTCTCTCTAGATTCAAATAGTAATTTCCTAGGAAGTCAAAAATTCTATTAAGCATTGATTTTAGAAGCCCCAATCTGATGGTGGTAGTACAAATTATTTTTTGTCACTAGTTAACAACATTATTCCAAATTGGAATTTTTGCTTTAAAACACTTAATGGACTTAAATTTTCAAATAGATTTTTAAAATTTTAAGTATATTTTGTTGATAATGTTATTTCAGAGAGACCTATAGTTATCAGTGCAAAATTTTTAACTTGGCTCTTTCTATTAAATTTTTTTGGTCTCAGACACCGTTAGGTAGTTCATAGACTTTTGATAATTTCATTTATTTTAACATGATGTTGCATTGAATTTGGTAAAAGAGACAAAGTTGAGATAATTTAGTGAAAGACTTTTAACATTGAAATTCTTAAATTTTATTGATAGCTTTTCTTTTGGTGATGCTCTCATTGAAAATGTTTTCTTTGGTGAAATGTTAATACATTATACACTTTTTTAAAGGAGATAAAGATTTCATTTTATTTAATCTGAAATTTCAATGAAAGTGTGGGAGAGTGTATATGTATGTGTGTGTGTTTGATCAGTAACTCCCTGGTGTTCAATTAGAGTACTTAAATTCATGAAAGAAGTAGTAAAATGGGCTATTGGCCTAATGACCTTATTAACTTAATACCTATTTAATGTTTTAAATTAGGAATAATCATCTATATCATGGATATGAATGCATGTATTAAATGCAGAATGACTGATTTCTTAAGAAGTTAATTCTGATAAGAGTGTTCACATTTTGGAAACACAAATTTCTCCAATACCTGAGCTTAAATTAATTTTTTATGGAAGCAACTATTTCACCCCCTCCTATTTGTCAGTTTACCATTCCTTTTTAACCTTGTAAGAGAGATTGTTGGCCTATTCTAACTTTCTTGACTGCCTTTCCCATTGTTTATTCAGCTGTATATTCAAAGTCTTATTTAACAGAACACTGCACATGTATAACATTTTCATTGGAGTTGTGCTTTCAATTGCCTGGAAGAAAGAAGTTGTATGAATTTAATATATTATTACTAGCAGTATCATTTTTCTACAAAACTTATTTTTAGAATAAACCTTTTAATTTGTCTGGAAAACCAGTTCAAATAGATTCTTGCAAAAATATTAGCTGTAGTAGCTGCTTTGTAAGTATTTGTTGAAAAGATAACGCATTTTACATGTATATATATCTTTTCCTGGTGACTGCCTTTTGACAGTGTTTTAAGTTTCTCATTAAGAGGTAAATAAGTCTCCTCAGATGATAGGCAAGGTTGTAGATATAGATGGTATCTGTATCATGGTATAGATCCATGATACTTGATACTCGTTTGTATCAAGTATCAATTTCAATGTATTTTACCCATGTATAGAAACATATGATTAACAATTCCTTTATAAATAGCATTTAGATAAACTTGATCTGTATGTTCTCTTTGAAACTTCGTGAATTCATATTCCTAGCATTTCTCCTTTTACTATTCATATGATCTTAAATGTATTTTAGGGTCCTTTTACCTGCTACTTTTCACTTAGAATCAATCTTTGTTGGTATTTTCACATCTTTTGTAGAAAACATAATGTTATTTATTGTATATGTAGTTGCTGTTTGATTTGAATATTTGTGTTCAAACCAATAACTAAGCAGAGGATACCATGGGGATAAAATTCCTAGGAGATAACTTTCTAAGCTCTTCTGTTAATTATGCTGACTTTGCTGTTTTAAAATTTAAGACCTCTACTAAAATGCATTTACTTGCAAATGTTTAATGATTGCCTTCAGTGGAGAAGCCACATTGTTACTTTCTTTAGAATATAAAGTGAATCTTGCTTTAAGATACTTGTAAGACATTCAAAACTGTAACGCAAAGTAAAAAGCAATGAATTAGTGCTGGTAAATGCTATTGCTATGTTCACTCTCCAAAAGCTTTGTTATTGGAAACTCTTATCAAAGGATGACTATTTCTTATTTTTCCAAATTTGGAAAGGATTCTTATACATAATGACAAAGCAGTAGGAAAATAGCACTTGCGTAGGGCAGAGCTGGATTATGATTCCTCAATGATTGTTTCAATTATAAATAAGTAAGTCAAGGGATAGAGTTACTGTTTGCATCTGGATACTCATCTTCAATGGGAATACAAACAGGTTCCAAAGAGGGGACATATTAATAATTTTCCACTGGTGTACAGTAACTTGAAGACTTAGTAGAAAGCATACTTACATGAGAAAACAATATAACCAAATGAAATTAAGGCTTTAATTCACCTTTAGGAACAGTCTGTGGTTTGTTGGTTTTTGTTTCTTTTAGATTGGGCTTGAAGATTCAGTTCTTTACTTGTAAGAAGTTCATTCTTTCAGTTAGCATTTATTGACTACTTACTATATGTTAAACTGAGGGAAACTGAAATAGTAGGAGCTCAGTCTACTTGAAATATGAAAGCATCAATATAATATTGCTAGGTGCTATAAACATGTACTGTGCAGAGCAAAATCAGATATAAATGAGAGGGATTGATTAACTTTTTAAGTGGGCTTATGGGCTGGGCTAAGGATGATACAGGTCATACTTTTAATATTTAGAAAAGAAAGCATAGTAGATAGAAATGTTTTAAGGTTAACCCTAAAGCTGCTATCATTAGTTGCATGAAAGGATGTACATACTGAGTTGAATAGGGAATGGTAAGACCACAGGATAAGGAATCCATTTTTGGTGGTTCCAAGAAACCATGTTCATTATTTTAACATCCCATTTTTAAGGATATAGCCTAGAGAGCATAGATCTCTTAATTTGACATTTTATAATTATTTCTCTGAAATAAAAAGAAAGTGCTCTATATTCAGTTGTAAATGTTGCTAAAGATAAGGAGCATCTTCATAAAGATTGATATCCATATATAGGAGATATTTAAGCAATGTATTTATTATATTGTAATCATAAATGTCACCTTTAGCATATAGGACCTATCAAAGTTAAGTGTAGCTTTATAAATAATTTTGCTTCATTTTTTTATATAAGAATATGATGAAAAAAATGTAAAACCACTTTATTCTAAGTTAAAATTTTTATTTTAAAGTGAATTGCTTTATTGTATTGACTGCTATTTCTTTGCTGGATTATAATCAAGGCATTCTTTTTTTATGTGGTAACATAAAGCACCTGATTTACTTCTCAATTTGTCCAGGAGTAATATTTTTATAAGAAAGTTCTCATTTTAAAAGTGGTAAGTAACCTGAAATCTAAGTAAAATAACAATACTTTCTTCAAAAGTCATTATACCATGGAGTGTATATTTCTGCTATGATATGGCAAAAATTAACATGGTCTATTTTTAGTGTCCAAATGAAATTTATGTAAAGTTTCTTTGCCTCAGGTTTTGTTTTTAAATGCTCTCAAATGAGTTATGTGACCTAGTATTATCAGTATTGCTCATTCTTGAGTAACGAGTTTCTCTATGATTGAGACCTGGTATGTTTATCTATACTAACAGTAGATTCTTTATAGTTAACAAACTGCTATGTCTTTGTTAATGGTGGTTTTACATGTTGTTGTGGAAATGAAAATTTCCTTATCATTTAACTTATTTGATCAAATTGAAAATCTTAACTATATTTTAAAACTTTTTGCCACAGCGTTTTACCAACGAGGATCATTTGGCTGTCCATAAACATAAACATGAGATGACACTGAAATTTGGTCCAGCACGTAATGACAGTGTCATTGTGGCTGGTTAGTATATGCTTTTATTAATAGCTTATATACATATTTCACCTGGAATGTGCACAATTTTTGCGTATTCTCTGTAAATAATTTAGTCTGGTGATATTCCAATGACTTCATTTTCAATAAATGTTGGCAACATGTATTTTACCCATTACATTTTCATGTTTCCTCCTGACCGTTCATTTCACTTTTTTGTATAGTTTTCAAATGTAGACTTCAATATCATTTTTTGTGGAAGTTAATTAGTATCTGGGAGCATTCATACCATTTCCAGAATTTACATTTAACTGATAATTCAATTAACATGATGTTTAGTCATTGTTTCTTTTAGCTGTTTACATCTGCTTTACAGTGCTACGCGAAGCTAGAAAATGATCAGGCTCCTCCTGTTGGAGAAAGCAGTTAGCAGACTTGTTCATTAGGATTTTGTTTATGTTTCTGTTCGGACTAAACATCTGTGTTAGTAAAATACTCTCAATAAAGGGGGCTTAAATTCAATCATTGCTTTTTATTTTTGTATGTTGCTCCTATGAACATACTGTATCACCTAAATGGATATGATTATCTTTCAGTATGTGAAAAGAGAAGCCCAGTACATGCATTGGTTTATTGTCCTTCCATGCTATATGTCAGCTACCTCTTTTTTTGGGTATTTATAGATGCATACATCTCTGTATATGTATACACACATAAGTATTGTGATAAAATAATTTTATATAAAATTTGATATACTTACATAAATTTCAGCCCTTTTGTCATAACCACAGTCATATATTACAAATATTCAAATTAATGTTTTAATTTTTTCTCTTGTAAAGCTTAGATTATACTATTTGTAAATCTAGAATTATACCTGAATACTGAGTCTTATTAATACTTTTAAATTATTACCCTGCTTGAAATCAAATTATCTCTCATAAGCATTGTATATGATAATGAGGAAAAAGATAATTCTTGTCATTCAGTATCAAGATTTTTGTCTTGAAAAAACTGGAAGTAACAGATAATTCACCAAAAAACAATTTGTTTAGGAAAAATGTAGGGGAACATTCAGCACATCTTCATTTCTATAAGTAAAAGGAAGCAGGTAAGAGTGTGGTATGCATTTCTTTAAAATACCATGTATCAGATATTGAGAGAGAAAACCAAAATGCAAACAAAATAACTGCAGCCTGGAAGTTTCACTCCCCTGGGCATGAAGGTCTTTCCTTCTCTGGAACTTCTTGCCTTAGAGCCACATCTCTTTCTGTAACATTTAACTCAAAAATATTTTGAGATTGGTTTCTAAAACTTACTTTACTATCTGTTTACATTTAATGCTCTAGAAAAGTAGAACACATTTAAACATAGCACTTGACTTTTTTTCTTTAAAAATACTTGAAATCAGTAGTATAGTGTAACTGTGTAAATATAGTGCATGATGGTGTGATATATATTTGATGATCAATAGCCAAAAACCATATGCATGTTTAAACAATTGTGCCTGTGTTGACTTTTTTCTTTCCAAGCCTGATCATGACAGTAATTGCTGATAAAAAGTTATTTTTGCATATGAATTTTATTTTTAAGACTCCTCTCCCTTTAATACAAAATAGGAACCTTCTCTTGGGCATAGACAAATCCTTTGGGCATGAACAGAAGCGTCAAATTTAGGTTCAGTTTACTATTGCAGTCATGATGGATGGACCTAGGTTGATACAAGAATCCTGGGCCCTTATTATAATAGTATTTTGTATGTCTTCCAGGGAGTACAGGTTATGTACATTGCAGACTGTTAGGTAAAATGATGACAAAAAGTCCTTCAGTAATTTTGATAAGACTCCTACTGTCTGAGGTAGACCTATATTATATCTGATGTGTATGACAAATAGATCTTTAGTGTTAAATATCTATATGTAGTAAACACATTAATACTCTGTGTATATGTTGGGTTGAGGGTGATGATAAAATAGTAATGCCCACTCTAGGGAGCCAGTAGTTAACAAATACATGTTTTAATTCCACAGAAGGTTTTTCGAGTATTATATCTTAAACCAGGAGTCATCCTCACACTTTTATTTAGTTTAGGCTAGATCCTTGATGTAACTTGTAAAGTTGATGCCCTAAAGTATATAAAATGTGAATAGAATTGAATGTGCTATTAATCCTAATCAGTGTGAGCAAATAGCCTTGAAAATAATAAAACTAAACAGGCAGAATTCATACTTTGCTGTTTTTCATTCAGTGTAGACCTTAACTAGCATTTGTTTTGTAATTAACATGTGCTCACGTGTACATCGAGTTCCTGTTTTAGTGCAGCACTGTTTTATCTTAAACTTGCTTTCATAATAGATTATGAGCACTAGTGGAAGGGCCAAGTTAAAGCAAATATACATGCTCTTGTCCTAGTTTTCCCCAAATTGCATGTATTTTAAGCATTTGTAAGTTTTAATACTGTAAATTTTTCTTTAATTTGTGTTAGATAATGATACTAGTTTATCTCTGAGTAGAGGATGCTTAGGTCACTCTACTCAGAACATGTGGAATAAGGAACAAACAGGAATTCGTTTCATACTTTTATTGTTCATAAAGTTGCAGAAAATACCTTAAACTGCAATAAGAACTTAACCAAATTTTGTTCGCTTTAAAGGAAGAGGTCTTTCCAAAGAGAATTAACAGCTGACTGAACCAGTCCTGCTAATTCATTAATTTACTAGCTAAAATACTTTAGAGTCCTGTATGATACTTAAATATGTGTAATTACGTATTGATGTTTATTTCAGATCAGACCCCAACACCAACAAGATTCTTGAAAAACTGTGAAGAAGTGGGTTTGTTTAATGAGTTGGCAAGTCCATTTGAGAATGAGTTCAAGAAAGCCTCGGAAGATGACATTAAAAAAGTATGTTATTAACCATGAAATTAAAAGAGTGCTTCTGACAGAACAGTTTTCACTTGTTGCTTTCTTATTTTAGATATACTGACTGGCTGTTTTTAAACTCCTAACACTTTCTTAATTTGTGTTTTAGATGCCTCTAGATTTATCTCCTCTTGCAACACCCATCATAAGAAGCAAAATTGAGGAGCCCTCTGTTGTAGAAACAACTCACCAGGATAGTCCTTTACCACACCCAGAGTCTACTACCAGTGATGAGAAGGTTAGAAGTTTTTATTTACAGAAGAAACTCAAACTAAGTGGAAAAAAAAAATCAGCATTCTCAGTAAAGTCTAATATTTGGTCTACATAAAATTTTAATGTAATAAAATATGCATTAATCAGCATCAGGTTATACTTGTCTTATATGTGAAAGCCTGTGAGAATACTCAGAAATTTTAGAGAAAGAAGATAATTTATTTATAGATAATTTTTTATGACAAACAGAAAAATTATTGGAGAGAATAGTAGTCATTTAACATAAACCTGTTTTTTTTTTAGAGGATACATAAATTTATAAATTTAATTTCTCTGGGTTTTGCTTTTTTTTTTTTGCTACTTTTATACATTGACAGCTTAATTAAGAATCTTTGCAACTAGAAATTATTTGAACAAAGTTTATTTAGACTTTTAAAGGGTTAAAGGAATAGCTACTTACTTCAGCAGTGATCTTTGGTAATAACAACTAATATGATGACGCTGACACTGTCTTTCTTACTTGGTATAGTCTTTTTGTAGTAATTTAGTGCCTCATTTCTAGATCTGAATACTTTGGTACCTGGGGCCGACTGGGGTATGTTATGTGTTGAGTTACCATTATTACAGGTATTTCTCAATTAATGTTCATTTACTAGCACATCTACTAAACACATTTATTTGGAGGCATGGGGCACAATAAAAGGCAATGACAGTGTTCTTTTGTAGGTTATGTTACTTTAAAATCATAGCCTAACTAACGGACTTTTGCCATGGCAGAGGAGCTAGAAGTAAGGCAGAAAAGGTAACTGTTTATTGATACCTAAGAATAAGTGCTTTGATCATAGGTGTTTTGTATTTTTTTATTTACTTATTATAAAAGTGCATTCTCATTATTAAAAAGCTTTAAGAATCCAAGAAAATATAAGGAAGAAAAAAATACCTTTTACCTCATAACTGAGCAATAAGAATTACTAATATTTTGAAACATTTTCCCTAAATATATGCTTACCTTTATACATAAAAATATACATATATATATTGGGCTTCTGTAGTGGCTCAGACAGTAAAGAGTTTGCCTGCAGTGCGAGAAACCCGAATTCAATCCCTGGGTTGGGAAGATCACTTGGAGAAGGGAATGACTACCCAATCCAGGATTCTTGCCTGAAGTCCATGAGGTTGCAAAGAGCTGCCTAGCACTTTGACACATATACAAGTGAATAGTTACATAAACGTATAAAGGGATACAAAGATAAATACCAAGAAGAATCATAGTTTACTTTTTTATATCATGTTTTATACATTCAGCATTAATGAATATTTTCCCATGCCATTAGAAAATTTTCCAAAGTCATAATTTTTAATGATTGCACTTTATCATAATGTGTTTACTGATCTTGAATGTAAATATTGTTTCCACATTATCACAGTTATAAGAAATGCTGTTAAATCTTTGATATAAATATCTTTTACCTAGAGAATATTCCAGTCCCTTCACACTCAACAGTTTTTTCCTGCTGGTTGCTGTTTTAGCCCTCTTAGGGGTATTTCTTCTTCCTGAATTCTTCAGTCTAGCTCACACTGGGCAGGGCATAGTTATTCCAAGTTGTAAGAAGTAAATTCTGAGCCCCCTTCTCTTTCTCAGTTTTTTCCTTCTTAAATGCTCTCATCCAGACCTGTAACTTTAAAAACCATCTACCTGGTTTTCAAATTTATATCAACCCAGATATTTCCCAGATTTCCATATTCATATGCAGCTCCATCTTGACATTTCCTTTTATGTGTCATCTTAAACATAGTATGTCTAAATTAGAGCCACCCCTTTTTTTCCCCCACAGGTTTCCCTGTCTCAATAAATTTTCTCTCCATCCACCTAGTTGCTCTGGCCAAAAATAAAGAATACTTAATTCCCTCTTTTCCTTCTCAATGAAACCAGTAGCACATGTTACCAAACCTACTTCCTGAATATATCCTTAATTTATCTCTTTCATTGGCACTGTCACCACTGTAGTCCAAATTATCTTTTACTTGGATTATTAACAGTTACCTTCAAATAATTGTTGATAGCTATTTGTTAATATATTGTTCAGTTAATATAACTTAACAATTACCAGGACTTTCTGCTTCCATCTCCAACCTATTTTCCATTGGCTGTATATTTTTCTTAATTGGTGGCTTTGTTTTTCTTTTTAAATTATTTTTAATTGAAATGTAACAAACATGCAGGAAAGTGTCCAAACTCAAGCATATACAGAATACCTATATTTGTGTAGATGCATATCTGAATATATATGTATGTGAGTGAAAGTCAATCACCAGAATACTGGAGTGGGTAGCCGTTCCCCTCTCCAGGGGATCTTCAAAACCCAGGGATCAAACCCAGGTCTCCTGTATTGTGGGTGGATTCTTTATCAACTGAGCCACCAGGGAAGTTAGGCTGTATATTTTTAATATATTATGTCACTTCCCTGCTTAAAATCCTTCAGTGGTTTGCCTTTGCCTTTAAGGTAACTCACACTTCTTCCATAAGCCATCATTGATTTAGACTTGTGTTCTTATCCAACCTCACCTCATGCCTTTTCTGTGATAGTGTTCATCGGATATTCTAAGCTTTTTCCTGCCTCAAAGACATTGCTCTTGATATTGCTTCCTTCTCCCTAGAATGCACTCATCTTTTCAGTACCAGTTCAAATGCCATTTTGCAAAGAAGTTCACTTTACCTCACTATGCTATCTAAAGTAGCCAACTCCAACTTTCCCTCAATCTCATGATTTATTGATACTATGTTGTACTGTTAGTCTATAACTCATTGCTGTCCAAAATTTTCTTGTTTGTTTTACTTGTTTATTGTCTCTTTTCCTACTAGTCCTTTAGGGCATGTTGTAATATCTCAAACTTGTCAAGTAAATGAAGTTCCAGTATTACTAGTTTATCTTTCTTGCTGTGTAGCTTAATAAGATTCTGAGAATAAATGGCAGTATAAAGGCAAATTCAAAGAACATGGTGGACCAATTTTTACACTAGTTACGGAGTTCTGGATAATCTGTTTCTAATCTGTAAATTGGGGAAAAGACCATCTATAAGGTTCCGTGTTTTCCTTTACTTTAGAAAGATCTTACTCCAGTAGTTTAGTCTTACATTCAAGGTATTAATTGTTGAACCTTTAATGGACCGGAACCTGGTGGTTCCAAGAGTAAGAGAGAGAAAGAGGCTGATATCCCCTGCTTTACATGGAAAGCCAATAGAGTCCTGTTCTTAGGGCTCGCGCTGCTGCACGTAGGCACCAGGCGGCCTCTCGAGTGGGTGAAGGCGCAGTGCCCCTTCTCAAGAGGGTCTTAGAAGGCCGGGGGGTGGCGGGGGGAGAGAGAGAGAGAGAGAGAGACACAGGGACCAGAGCTCTGATGGAACAAAAGGTGTTTTTAATCAACATGGTGTGGGCATATATACTGTCTTACAAGGTGGTTATTCTCAGCAAAGACAAAGATTAAAATTCCAGACTTACAAAACATAAGATGATCCCTATCAAAGAGAGAGAGTTGCAAGCAATCACCTTTTACCATTTGGCTCATAATAAGGAAGAGGGTACTTATAACTGTAATGGGAAATGCCTGGATTCCTCAGCCCCGGGAAAGGCGTGCCTCTCCTCTTAATTCCTGAATATTCAGGAATCAATAAGGGCCAGAGGGTTCCTGACAGATCCAAGACAGCACACAGGAGGCCTCTTGTTAAATGCTTCCTGACATTAATATTAGTTCACCTTTTGATATTGAGAAATTAGTGGTAATGTAGAGACAGTTACCTGAAAGAGATAGTTACCTGAAATTAGCAAACATTTGTATTACTTAAAAAAAATTTTTAACATTTCTATTATTGAATTTATATCAACTATAAAAGAGTCTCCTGGACCTGTTTCTTCTTTATACAATATAATGATGGAGTAGGACAAGGAAGTCCCATCTGGATTTTAAATTCTGTACTTCCATGAGAATGGAATTGTAGTTTTATTTTTTACAGAATTCTCATGGAGTTATATAGCCAAGTTGCCCAGCCTGAGTTATTTCTAGATGGATGGTAAAACAAGTTGTACTGAAAAAACCACTCAGATGTTTTTTAAATTAAAATATTAACATTGCATTTGAAACAACTGCTTCTACAGTTTTCTCTTAATTAACTTTAAATAAATATTAATATATTTGGGGGTGATACTAAGTTTGTGGGGGGTTTTTTGTGGGTTTTTTTAAAGAGATGTGTTATATTCTGTTCATTAAGGTACATGAATTGACTTGGATTTTTAAATTTCATTGTTTCTCCATCTCATTATTAAATAGGAAGTACCATTGGCACAAACTGCACAGCCCACATCAGCTATAGTTCGTCCAGCATCTTTACAAGTTCCCAATGTGCTGCTTACAAGTTCTGACTCAAGTGTCATTATTCAGCAGGCAGTACCTTCACCAACCTCAAGTACTGTAATCACCCAGGCACCGTCCTCCAACAGGCCAATTGTGTAAGTGATTTGGGCCAGTCATTGAATTTTATGAATTGTTAAGTTTTTCTTGTCTTGATTTTCCTAAGATATTTAATTATTCTAATTGTGGCCTTAGTTTTGTGTGTGTGTTAATCATTTTTGCATGCTTTTATTTTTGGAAAAAATACTTGGGTAATTTTTTTTTTATTATAAATGTTTTCTAACAAATTAGAAAACATATACAGTGCTTAATTTTAAAGACAAATTAACACAGATTGTGATTTTAAGATGGTCTCTTATTTTCATGCTATTTTACACAAAACACATAAGATTATCTTTATCACTAGATAACATTTCTTTCAGGGCTTCCCTGGTGGATCAGACGGTAAAGAATCTGCCTGCATTGCGGGAGACCCGGCTTTGATCCCTGGGTCAGGAAGATGCCCTGGAGAAGGGAATGGCTGCCCACTCCAGTATTCTTGCCTGGAGGAATCCCATGGACAGTGGAGCCTGGCAGGCTATTTTCCATGGTGTTGCAAAGAGTCAGACACAACTGAGCAACTAACACAAAACATTTCTTTCAGTTTTTACAGGGAGCTCTCAAGAGCTTTCTGATAAGAATTTTTCTCAGTAATGTATTGCAGATTGTTCTCTAAATTCATAGCTTTTCCCATTTTTTTCCTCTTATCCTACACTGCTTACATACATTGTACATTTCAATGCAATTAAAGCTAATTAAATTTTACAATGTGCTTTGCAGTGGTTCAGAAATTTTTGTTTAATTACTTGAGTGGTGTATATATACCATGTATAATTTTTTGTGGGTATTTTGTTCATTTTATGAAAAATGGTGTCAAGTTTGCATCTGTCACATGGGCATTTTCCTTGGGCTGGACCTCTTGTTCTTTTTTTTTTCTTATATACAGTGAACACTTAGAGCTTCCCAAGTGGCACTAGTGGTAAAGAACCCACCTGCCAGTGCAGGAGACATAAGAGATGCTGGTTCGATGCTTGGGTCAGGAAGATCCTCTGGAGAAGGAAATGGCAACCCACTCCAGGATTCTGGCCTGGAAAATTCCGTGGACACAGGAGCCTGGCAAGCAGCTATAGTCCATGGGGTTACAAAGAGTCAGACACAACTGAGCACACCATACACATACACATTACATCCCTAGTGCTTATGTATCTTCTAACTATAAGTTTGTATCTTCTGACCACCTTTGTTACCATATAGAGCTGATACTGCATTAGTAATGATTATATTCCTCATACTGAGAATTTCATTCCTGTGACTCATTTATTTTGCAACTGGAAGTTTGTACCTCTTAATTTCTCTCATCCCTCCATTCCCTTCCCTCTGGCAACCAACCACCTGTCTGTTCTCTGTTTCTCTTCTGTTATGTTTATTAATTTTTTAGATTTCTCTGGAAAATTTATTTTTAAATTATAATAGGAGTAAAACTACTTTTATATTTTTTAAACATGATTGATACGGATTTCTTTTCTCTTGATTGCCCTTCTTTTGTTTGCCTTAGTCCTGTACCAGGCCCATTTCCTCTTCTGTTACATCTTCCCAATGGACAGACCATGCCTGTTGCTATTCCTGCATCAATCACAAGTTCTAATGTGCATGTTCCAGCTGCAGTCCCGGTAAGTTTTTAGACTATTTAATATTTTCTTTATAGAAAACTGATCTTTATAATCAGAAAATACACTTCAGGCTGCTTGATTAGTTTATGAAACCGAATTCAACAAAATATTTAGTGTTGAGCAATATTTACTCATTGATACTTACTGTGATAGCTTAAATCTTTCAAGCCAAACATAACTGGATAAATAACATTTTTCAGTCCTCGAAATCTTAATTGTTTTCCTTTTATTTTTAGTATTAACTAATTCCTAAGGTTCAAGAGGAAGGGGACATATGTATACCTATGACTGGTTTATGTTGATATTTGGCAGAAATGAAAAAATTCTGCAAAGCAATTATCCTTCAATTAAAAAATAAATTTAAAAAATAAAGTTGAAATTAAAAAAAACTAATTCCTTATTCAACCCATTTCAATTTGCTAGATTTGTAGAATTCAAATGTTAGCATAGATTTCTGTTCTGTAAGAAGATATTTATACTGGAACATTTATCAGGTAACTCCATGTTATTTTGATTATTAGAGAAATTATTTATAAAAGTATTCTGAACTTTCATAGTCATGTTGGGTTTATGGAATTCCATTGCTGTCCCAAGTATGTGAAAATCTAAATGGTCTACTAGAATGGACACTTTTCCTAATGAGAAGATCAAAAACAAGTTTTTTGAGGGGCATGTTAACTATATAAATTTTGAAAGACATAGATAGTAGTTAAATATCTACTTATACTATTCAACAACTTAGTATTTAAAGGCACATTCTTTGGAATAATATGTTAGAAATAATGCTTTTTTTTCTATTCTCACATTTCATAAAATAACGGAATCTTCAAATGTGTCTTCAATATTCAAGTTTTTGTCTTTAGAACCACTTTTTAAGAAACCTCACAAAGTTTTCCAAAACACATTATTTTCATCCTCATCTGAATAATTTCAGTGTAACACTTTTTGAATCTCCTAATATAATCCTGGAAATCTTACATCAAGTCCTAATACTCATAATAAAAAGAGTCTCTTTTTTTTCACTTTTTAGATAGATATTTCTGGTTAGTACAATATAATCATTTATTGTATAGTTTTTAAAAATTATTTTTAAAATCTTCCTTACACTTTTCGTGAGATTATATCCTCAGGACACTTTTGGTGAGATTATATCTTCATGAATATTAACTAAAATTAACATTAAATATTTATTTTTATTAACTAAAGTGACCTAAGTATCCAAAATTAGCACTGACTGTAATATTTCAGATATTTCCACAAAGTCAAGATAATGTGTTGTCTTCAAATGGAACTTTGTAGTTCAAACTGCATTATTTGAGAGTTTTATAAGGACTCAAATGTAAGGTGACTACTCCCTCTTTTCTCCAGATATTTTTGATGGGGAAACATTCTTGTATCTGGGTTTATATGGTATCCTGTTAAATGTAACTGCAGTGAGAGAAACTGAAATGAAAAAGAGATAGATTTTAGTATACAATAACTAATCATTCAGTGTTGATATTAACGTTTTTTTAAAAGAAGGCAAAAGACAATGGAAAATCTTTTCAGTAGTGTTATTAGTGAAATTACTAGAGGTAATCAGATTCTCCTTTGTTATTATGCTTTATTTAATGTATTAAAGAACTTTTATGTATATATTTTATAAATTTTATATGTATTTTAGAAAAGCAAAGTTAATTTTATGTGTATATATTTTAGAAAAGCAAAGTTCATTGTTGAAATTACTTTTTATGCCTAGTTATACAAGTTTTAACATTCTTTCTCATTCAAAATGGAGGTGTGACGGATCTGTGAGAAATCTTGCCTCACTGAATATTATTAGTTTCTATAAGAAGGAATTATTAAAAAAGTAAATTATGAAAATTTAAGATTAAAAATGAATGAGAAAAAATTGGCAAGTTTTGAAGGATAAATCAGGATTAAGATCAGTAAAGGTTCAGATACAGTTTTCTGATTCTGCAGTCTCAAATAATTTTATCAATTATTATATTTATCTTAACAATATAAATATTAATATATTGGGTTGGTCAAAAAGTTCATTCAGTCCCTCCCTATAAGATGGCTGTAGTAGCACTCAGTTGTCTTTAACTTCATTTGAAACAATTTTGTTAGATTGTATTGTGACAGCTGTCATATCAGTGTGCATTTTTTTAAAAAAATTTAAATCGGTGAATATAGCCATTTTAATATTGAAGATGAAACAAAAAGCAACATTTTCAACACATTTATGCTTTATTATTTCAAGAAAAGTAAAAATGCGATTGAAATGCAAAAAAAAAAAGACTTGTGTAGTAAATGAAGAAGGTGCTGTGTCTGATCGACCCGTGTCAAAAGTGGTTTGTGAAGTTCGTGCTGGAGATTTCTTGCTGGATGATGCCCCACAGTTGGGTAGGCCTGTTGAAGTTGATAGTGATTGAATCGAGGCATTAATTAACACTCAATCTTATATCATGAGTTTAATAGCTGACATACTCAAAATATCCAAATCAAGCACTGAAAATCATTTGTACCAGCTTGATAAATCATCACTTTGATATTTGGGTTCCACGTAAGTGAAATGAAAAAAACCTTCTTGACTGTTATTTCTACATGTGATTTTCTACTGAAAGCTAACAAAAACATTCCATTTTTAAACAAATTATGACAGGAACCTAGAACAGTTTCTTTGCTCAAAAAGATAAAAAGTTTTGGGAAGATGGAGTCATTAACGTGCCTGAAAAATGGCAGAAGGTAGTAGAACAAAACAGTGAATATGTTGTTCAATACAGTTCCTGATGAAAATGAAAAATGTGTCTTATTTTTACTTTAAAAACAGAAGAAACTTTTTGGCCGACACAATATATACATTGTTAATGTATAATAACAAAGGTCCATCTAGTCAAGGCTATGGTTTTTCCAGTGGTCATGTATGGATGTGAGAGTTGGAATGTGAAGAAAGCTTAGCTTTGAAGAATTGATGCTTTTGAACTGTGGTGTTGGAGAAGACTCTTGAGAGTCCCTTGGACTGCAAGGAGATCCAACCAGTCCATCCTAAAGGAGATCAGTCCTGGGTGTTCATTGGAAGGACTGATGCTGAAGCTGAAACTCCAATACTTTGGCCAACTCATGTGAAGAGTTGACTCATTGGAAAAGACCCTGATGCTGGGAAGGATTGGGGGCAGGAGGAGAAGGGGACGACAGAGGATGAGATGGTTGGATGGCATCACCAACTCGATGGACATGTGTTTGAGTAAACTCCAGGAGTTGGTGATGGACAGGGAGGCCTGGCGTGCTGTGATTCATGGGGTCGCAAAGAGTCGGACACGACTGAGCGACTGAACTGACTGTATAAATATATTGTCATATGCATATTAATATATACTTTTAATGTAAATTATTATAGCAGCCATTGTGCAAATAAAGTACAAATCTCATTTTGAATATATTCTCTAGTAATTATTTTTCAATATCTTCTGATAGCTTGTTCGACCAGTCACCATGGTGCCTAGCGTTCCAGGAATTCCAGGTCCTTCCTCTCCTCAACCAGTACAGTCAGAAGCAAAAATGGTAAGCAAGATTTTATTTGTTCTGTACATATCTTGACCCTGTTTTGAATTAGCTTTTTCAATTAAAGCCCACTTCAGATGCACAATTTAGATCAAATATTGTAAATTTGTGGGCTGTATTACATTATAGGGGAACCAGAACTTTTAATTAGCATAGTGACAGGGCACTGGTACTTGAAAGCAAATGAGTCAATTGGGAGTAAAGTTCTAGTTTTTATCATTGGTTTGTCTGATGTTTGATGTGGCCTTTTAGGCAAACTCCTCCTGCTGGAGGCTAGGGATATTGCAGCTGAAACTAGAAGTAATAATCTGAAGGCGGTGTTGACATAATGATTTTAAACATTCATACAAATGAGTAGAACAGGATTAAGAAAAAATTCTGAAATAGTATACAGGTTAGTAAACATTATATATAAAGGAAAACCATATTTTTGACTTGTGTTTCAGGCACTAAGAAATCGATGTTAAGGGGTGAACTACAGAGTAGGAATCAGAAGACATATTTTCATTTTACTCATAATTCTTCTGTTCATTACCCCCAAACAAGCCACTTTAATTTTTCTGAGACTCATTTTCCTCATCTGTAAAATAAAGGGATTAAACTTTGATTTCTGGGGTCTTTCTTAGCCTCAAATCTTTCTTACTTGCTAATCTTCTTAGTAGACAACCTGAAGCTGCTGCTATGGGGTGGGGGTTCAGTGGGTTAATTTTCTTTTAAATCAAGATAATTCTCCCTTCTACAATTTAACACACTTTAGAGCTAATTTTTAACTAAAATCAATCGATAGTTGTTAGACACCTATTATTTGTTTCAGTTCTATGCTAGGCACCATAAAAATTAGTACACATAAAAACCATTATATATTATTGCAAGGCTTTAAATTTTTTACTGCTGTTCTCCATTAATGTAAATAATCAGTCTGAATTTGGCATGTGATAACTTTTTTTTTAACAGTAAAACTTATATACCATTTGAATGAATAATAGTTGGTTGAAGAGTATTAAAATTAGCTGATTATTGATGATAGTGAAAGAACTTGAAAATCCAAGGGGAGAATGTTTCATGTAACACCATGTTTAGGTCAAAGCCATGGAACTAACTAAGATGGATCTTTTTCATTTGATAGCAGATCTTCACTAGGAATGTGTTTTACACTTCCTACTTAACGTAACTATTATAATGAAAAACTGAATTAGTGAGAACTATGTAGAATAGAAATAGAAGTTAAAGAGATCCTGTTGTAATCTGCCTCTCAGAATACCTTTATGTATTCAGTGGGCTTTTCCTGCCACAATTTGTAAAGAACAGATCAGATTTAAAGAAATCCTTTTGGCTATAAGATAGAAACTAGTAAGCTTCTCTGAATAACTGAACGAATTTGAGAAACTTAATTAGTCAGAAGAAAAATACTTTGTATGCCTGTACACTGAAAAGTACCAAAGCTGTATTTCACATATTTATATATGAAACACAGTTATAGGTTGAAGGCTCCCCAAATTGCATGGGGAGTCACAAATTGCCTCACTTAAATTTAACAGTCCAATTAAATTTCTTAGTAGAATATTGTTAACACATAAAATAGCCATATTTAGGTGATTACCTGTTTCAAATGGGATAGTAAATATGATTGTCCTGTTTTTAATTAAATAAAAAGATTCAGAAATTAGCCCCCCCCCTCCTTTTTTATAAGCTTTTTGTTGTGGAAGGTTTCAAGTATTATATACAAAGTAAATAAGATTCTGTAATGAATCCCCATGTACTCATCACCCAGCTTCAGTTATTAGCAATATAACTGTCATTCTTCCTCAGACCACTCCCTGCCCTCACTGAATTATTTTTTAATAAGCCTTTCTTAAATGTAAAATTTACATAGATTGAAATGGACCAATTTAAACTGTACAGTTTTAAGTGCATTCATGTAACTCACCTCTATTATGGTATAGAACATTAACATCTATCCACATTTCTTTATGTCCCTTCCCTCAGTCCATCTCCCCCAGCTGTTAATACTTATCACCAGCAATGTAAATAAAATCAATATATACTCTTGCGTTCAGCTAAGCATACGTCTGTGAAACTTATCCATGTTGTTGCATGTATTGTAGTTTCTTTTTATTGCTGAGTAGTTTTCTGTGCTGTGAGTATACCACAATTTCTTTATCCATTCTCCTGTTAGAACTTTGAATGGTTTGGTTTGATTGTTTCTAAACTTGAATTAAAATGTCAGTGTCATTGATTTTCTTATTTTATTAAACATCGGGGGCTAAAAAGATTTACTAAGTAAATAATTGTATAATTATAGTGGGAAAATCTGAGACTCAGTTCATACCCTAGTGCAGAGGTTCCTTAATGATCAGATAAACATCATGGGATTGGATTCTTTTCTCTGTCAGTGGTAGGACTCTTAATTCCGTTCTCTCCAAACTGAATGGTCCCCAGCTCACATCCCCTAGGATCATGCTACATGTTAAATAATTTTTCTGACTTTTTACCAGTCTGAAGCCCCCCAGCAAACATTATAATTTCTTCTTTCACTGCTTCAATTGGATTTTGCTTTGTTGTTTTCAACTCTTTGAAAATATTTAAACATCCTCCCTGTTTGATTCTGCATCTCTGCTAAGGATTTATTTGACCTTTCTGGTCACAGTCTATTAATGTTAAATAGTACAGCAATAGTATCTCTGCTAAAATGTGGTTAAAAAATGTTTGAGAAATGGCAGCATTGGAACACAGAACAATAAGTAGTACACTATAGCTGAAGAGAAACTTATTTGTATCCTAAGATAGCCACGGACGCTTTTGCAGTGGCCTGATTTTCATGTGCCCAGTGCTTACTGGAAGATTTATATGCATTGTGTTTGTTACAGATATTTAAAGAAGATCCTTCTTTGTTTGCTGAAGAAATTCTTTCAGGACAAGTTGTGCTTGTTTTGTTTTTTAAGAACTTTTAAGTCTTTGAAAAAGTAAAAACATAGTTTAAGTAAAAATGTATGGAGGGGAGTTCCACAAATAAAAGATTACCTAGTATTTTTTAATACTCTAGGAAACTCTTGGGATCTGCTGTTTTCTACAAAATTTCACTGGCTCTCACCAAATGTAGATATAGTTTAGGGGTTTTATTTGTCATTAAGCACATTAAACCATAGATATTTGCTACCTGTGTTTACTCTTCTAAAAAAACAAATTTCGTATGTAATATTTGTAATCAAAAAGTAACTCATCTGAATAAGAAAATGTTAACCATCCAGGAGTTTCATTTAAGAAGATTTAGTTAAGTATTTAAGTTGTATTTTCTGGAATCACTCCTTTAAGACTTGTGTGACAAACTGAGAGGTATCTTTGCACGCAGCGGGTAGCTGGTAGATTTTCTGCAGGGGTTTCTACTGAGCGCTGACAGAGGGCATCTTGGCAAATGTTCAGAAACCTACATTAACTTAGTTGGGCCCTGCATGGAGCCTCATGTTCAGCAGAATTCTTCTGACCTCCCTCTGCATGCCAAGCTAATCAGCAAACACCAAATGAGCCCACTCCAAAGAAACAGACTCTCTCCCAACCTACTTCATTTTCATATGTTCTCTGGGGGTGGGGAGCAAGATTTCACAAGGACTGATGATGCTGCAAAGACCACAATAATGATAATTAACTTGCTGAATTTAGAAGATTATGCTGTTAATTAGTTGCAAAATAAAGATAAGTAATAGAGCAGCAGATGGTAGGATAACACCCAGGAGAAGAAGGGTTATTACTCTGATGAGCTTTTGTGGTGCTTATGAAATATGGATCTGACTTTTTCATAAATTGTTTCTAGAGAACATTATGTTTTTTCTTTGAACTATGATCGAGTAGTTTATTCCTACCAGGTTCTGACAGATGTGATAAAAATTTGCTTTCATGGGTATACCATATAACATAGAATTTGAATAACAAATTATTTTTAGCAGATTACCTCTTAAGATGGATCTCAGATTGCTCAGCACAACAAGACTATATTCACTCCTTTTTTTCCCCCTTTATTGACACATTCTTTAAGACAAAGTTTTCAACATAGTAGCTGAATTTTACAACACTAAAATTTAACTCTAACATTAAAGCACTAGTCTGCTTAGAAACATAATAATAAAGATTTTTGTTTTCTTTCCTTTAGTTTAAAATTAAAATGCCTAGCTTTTATTATACATATTAGAGAATATAGACTTATTAAATCTTACATAATTTCTTTGAGTACTTAATCTTCATTTACTTATATTAGATTTCTCTGTTGATAGAAATTTTGATCCAGTAATGGACTGACCAATGTCTGATACTCTTAATGGTTACTAAAATATACTTAGAATACTTAATGTGAGACAAAAGCTCTAGTTTGGGAAAGCTTTTGTTTAAAATATGTTTGTTCAGTGAACTAGGAGTCAACAGACAGAATTTCTGGTCCTAGATCTGCTTCTCACTTGCCCTGTGATCCTGGGAAGTAACTTCACTCTTTGGGCCTTAATTTCTTTATCTGTAAGATGATAATTGAACTAATTGATTAGCTCCAAAATTCTGTTGTAAAATAAATATCTATCATATTTATAAATGTTTTAATTTGGGGGAACCAAATTACTCTTCTTTAAAATATCTCAACATATATGTGGGTGGATTGTGGATATCCTTACATTAGTTGTAAAATGTATATGAATCACCATTTAGATAACTTTCTTCTCCTAACCCACTGTAATTTTTTTAGCATACATTTGTTTTTAAACATGTTTGTTTAAAAAAAATTTATAGTTTAAAAAAAATCTGTAGTTCAAAGCAGTGTTAATTAACCCTTGAAAATCTTTTTCTTGCATTTTGTATCCAGTGGCACACTTCCAAGTTAGACCCATTGTAATCAGTGTAACAGCATGGAGCAAACATTAGAGCTTCCTCACTGGATGAGCACTGTATACCCTAGGGCAGTCAAGAGAGGATAATGAATGAATACTGATGCTGCTTTTAAGTGCTCTATAAGGTAGTAACTTGCCCTACTAAAGATTATTCAAGAGAGTGATGTTTATGTACTTCAGACTCCCCTATGTGCAGTTACTGTATTTCATTAATTCTAAGAGCTAAGCTCTTTACTATAAAACTTGAAATGCTCTTCAATTCTGTTTTCTACCTAAGAACTTAAAAATGTTTTACCAACACATAATTTACCAAGCTTCACATCTCAACCAGTACTTATATTTTTACACATTTTATATCCAGAAATGAAAGCCCTAACCTAACGCTATTATAGATTGGCTTTTAAAAGATGTAATTATGCACACTGACCACCTCCCCAGACCCTCCTCCTTCTGTATATATGACCCACACTTTCAAATTCCTCTTTTTGCTTTCACTTCTTTGACCATTGAGCTTAATCCTTCCTGATTACAGCCAGGTACTGCTTTGGTCACCTACCTAATTAGTTTTAATCCATCCACTTCCACATTATCTCATCAGTTATGAATGTCCCAATTTCCTGGATCTTAGATGCTAATGTGGTTATTTCTGCATGTTTATAAGAGAAGGAAGAAAAAATGGAACTGGGAATCTTAAACCTGGATTCTGAAAGTGTACCATGTGGTCTTGAGAATATATTTTCCAAAATAAAATACATCTGGAGGAGTTCATGGTGGTCCAATAGCTAAGACTCTGCGCTCCCGCTATAGGGGACCCGAGTTTGATCCCTGCTCAGATCCCACATGCCACAACTAAGAGTTTGCATGCTGTAACTAAGACACGGCACAGTCAAAAAATAAATAAATAAAATATTTTTAAAATTTTTAATATAATATTAAATATTAAAAATTTTAAATATTTAGCTTCAGACTGAGCTAAACCTGTCCCTAAAATGATCCCTGAGTACTTTTTTTCCTAAGTATATTTTGAAAATACAAAAGTAAAGGAACTCTCATGATTCTTTGGTGTCCATACCCTAACACCTGAACTGTGAAAATAGAGGGCTCAATAGATATTTTTGAAAAAGGTAAGGAAGCTGATAAAAAATTAATAAATCCTTATGTAACTCAGGTAAGTTTTACATATTTAATCTTTACCTCAGCCCTACAAGGAAGTTGTCATTTTCCCCAGTTTTACAGATAGTTTGTTCAGATAATTGGAGACAGAGTTAATTTCTGAACAGTAAAGTATCTTCTCAGCTGTACACATTTTGTATGCTAATATATATACAGTATATCTTAGGTATGCTAACCAGTGAAGAAACTAGGACTTTATGAACTGCTTTTTGCAGTTCATAAAGAAGTACTCAGTCGGAAAAGATGGGAAAAACATACCTAATTTGGGTTGATATGGCTTTAGCGGTTACAGTATCAGACTTGGCATTCCAAATCCTTTGTGGTTGTCTTTTGCACCACTTGACTTGCAGGATCTTAGGTCCCTGACTATGGATTAAGCTTGGGCCTATGACGGGGCGAAGTCCTAACCACTGGACCACCAGGGGATTCCCTTATAGTTGTCTTTTGAATCATCAAGCCATCCAGCCTGAGATTATCTTTCTTGATTTTTCCTTTTTTTTTTTTGCTGCTTTTTTTTGGTGGGGGGAGGTAGGATAATATATATAACATCATGCCATGGAGAAACTGCACTTTGAAAGTAAGGAGATCCAGATTTAAATCTAGGATCTTAACTAGCTTGATGGCTGTATGACCTTGGGCAAATGCTCTCTAGTGTCCTAATCTATAAAATCAACATATTGTTTATTAGAAACTGATTTAAAAATTACTGATGACACAGCAACAGAGATGGATCTCAGGTGCATTATGCTAAAGGAAAGAAGCCAGATTCAAAAGGCTTATTATATACACTGTATGATTCCATTTATATGATATTCTGGAAAAGGCAAAACTTTGAGAATCAAAAACCAGACAGGATTTTCAGGGACTGTGGTGGGAGGTAGTCATGTGTGGATGTGAGAGTTGGACCATAAAGAAAGCTGAGCACCAAATGAAAACAATTGCATTAGAATCACTAGGGGGCTTTGTCTAAAGCTGTTCTCTATTATCTACCTCTTTACGCTATTTCCAAAGAAAGAAGAGAGGAAAAGTTGCCCAAAATTACTCAGGAAAGCTTCCCAAAGGTCCTTTTATCTGTCTTACTGATATTTAGGAATGCAGTGGAAAATAATAAATCAGAACTAAGTTTAAAGTTTATGTATTCATTAACAAATGTCTCATTTGGTTAACCAAAAGTGTGTTGGGAGTTAGATTTAGGTAGAAAGCAGGGAGCATTTTTTTAAAATTGGTATTTGCATTTCAGAGATTAAAAGCTGCTTTGACCCAGCAACATCCTCCAGTTACCAATGGCGATACTGTCAAAGGTCACGGTAGTGGTTTGGTTAGGACTCAATCAGAGGAATCTCGACCACAGTCATTACAACAGCCAGCTACATCCACCACAGAAACTCCGGTATGTGTGTTTTTTTTATCATTCATCACTCAGTTTTCCTTTAAAAAAAAAAAAAAAACACAGTGTGACTTCAATGACTATATACTTTGAAAAGATTTTTCTGGTCAAATTTTTATTCCAGAAATGTATTTAAAAAGCCTTAAGAAAAGGTAGTTCAGCATAAAAGTTGAACATACAAAAAATAAATAAGCAGTTGTTACTGCTGAGGGCACTCTGTAAATGTTTCTCAGAGTATCTGTGTGTTGGTTTAAGATGGCACAGTATCCACCAATAGTATTTAAAGAAAACTTTTTTACTATTGGTTGTATTCAACAAGTAATGTATATATGAACCATATTACTGATATAAGATAATTCTTGAATTAACACTTGTGAAATGTCACCAAAGTAACAGATAGGTTTAATGGCAGCTGTTTATACTAGAGGCCTGTTTCACTCTAATTTGTGTCTGGCCATTAGATGATTGCTACTTCTATATGTCTGCAGTAAAGGATGACTGTATTTCTGTTAAATGTTTCAGAGCTCCATTTAGACCTTTTTCTTCTCTACTTCAAGAATATTAGCGTTTAAAAGTAAAACACAATTAAAGAAACACACCTGAACAGCAAGTTTAACACTACCTCCTAAGCATAGGTGTTTAGATAACTGTATTTTACCTTTGTGAAACTTAAGATAAAGTGAAATAGTTGTGGTTGTCATCCACCAAGCAACTTTACTTAGGGGCCAAAAGAGAGGAAAAGTGAGTGTGTTCTTATGTCTTAATTCAGGATTAGCCAACTGCCTCATGAGCCTAATGGAGCTCATGACTGTTTATCTATGGCTGGCAAGTTCAGTATGGCTTTTACATACTTAAAAGTTTATTTAAAAGAAAATAAATGAATGTCATTTATTTTCTTATACTAACTATAGTTTACCTGGATCTCATTTTTATTTATATTTTCATACTGTATTGTATTGGAATGAAGCTCCAGGAGAGCAGGACTTTTATCTGCTCTATCACTGCTATATCACTAGAATAGTTCCTATGTATTTTTCAGTGAAGTAGAGTGAATGAATCAATAGAAAAAGGGAGAGAAGGAAGAATATATGCTTCTAAGTAGCTTTAAATCCTTGTTAGAGGTAGAGAGATATATAATTCAGGTTAATTACCTGCAGAACTTAAAGATCTCTGCCTATGGTATAGATTAAGAGAATGTAGAAATTTTTGTTTACATCATTTTAAAATATCATTAAAGTAGAGGCAGGAGATTTGTTTTCAGGCTGCTACTTTGGATCATATGTCTATGGCCACAAAATGCTTTCTTTTGCACTGTTTCTAAGGGTTTATATCCTATCTCCTGTATTCAGGTGTTCTGTGGCACAATTTTGGGATTTGTGAGAGACATGAAGATATTCTTTAATCCTAAACACTGGATAATATCACTAATGACTGAAGATTTCTGTCTGGCTGATTTTGCAGGGCAGGTGGACCAATTAAAAGGAAAATCTAGACTCTCGGATTCTACCTACCAGGAAAATGAGCATTAATTAATTATATAAACCTGACCCTTAGAAAAAGACTGACCCCAAATTTCAGAAACTGAAGAAAAGCTGAATACACTAAAATGTGTTGTGTACTTTCAGCTCCTTAAGTTTAGAGAAACCAATTTTTAAAAAACATTTACAGTTTAATGCTATTCTTTATTTCAAAAATAGCATGGAAACCATGGTTTCCCACAGTGAATTTAAATAAGTTATTTTTTATTAGTACTTTATTAATTATCAAAGGATTGAATAATAACATAATGTTTGCTTAAAAGTGCACTTGGAAAAATAAAAGATCTCTACATCATCATTTGTATTGCATTTTTTAATTTATTTGTATTCTCTCTATAAACATGAAAATATTATTTATACAAACATTAAAGAATAGAATACAATCCTAAAGGAAATCAACTCTGAATATTCATTGTGTGAATATTGATGCTGTAGCTCCAATACTTTGGCCACCTGATGCAAATAGCCAACTCATTGGAAAAGACCTTGATACTGTGAAAGATTGAAGGCAGGAGGAGAAGGGGGTGATAGAAGGTGAGATGGTTGGATGTCATCACCGCCTCAATGGACATGAGTTTGAGCAAACTCCAGGAGATAGTGAAAGACAGAGAGGCCTGGTGTGCTGCAGTCCATGGGCTCGCAAAGAGTCTGACACAACTTAGCCACTGAACAACAACAAAGAATACATTCACTGTAACAGTTAGTGAGAATCTTGGTTTAGCAATGCTTATTTATTTCAAGGAATTTGTTGAACAACAGAGTGGTTTGCACATTGCTTCAGAATATTGATGTATATGATGAGACTTAGAAAATAAAATTAGTACCTGTCACCTTTGCAAGGGGCTTCCCTAATAACTCAGTTGATAAAGAATCCAGCCGCATTGCCGCATTGCAATTGCTCGGTTGGGAAGATCTGCTGGAGAAGGGACGGAAAACCCATTCCAGTATTTTGGCCTGGAGAATTCCATGGAATGTATAGTTCATGGGGTCACAAAGAGTTGGCACAACTGAGTGACTTTCACTTTCACCTTGGCAGTCCTTTACTGCCTATTACGTTCATTTTAATCACTAGGTACAAATAGCAAAAGCTTTCATTTGTGTCTATTATAGGCTTCTCCAGCTCACACAACTCCACAGACCCAAAATACAACTGGTCGTCGAAGAAGAGCAGCTAATGAAGATCCCGATGAAAAAAGGAGGAAGTTTCTGGAAAGAAATAGAGCAGCAGCTTCAAGATGCCGGCAAAAAAGAAAAGTCTGGGTTCAGTCTTTAGAGAAGAAAGCAGAAGACTTGAGTTCATTAAATGGTCAACTGCAGGTATGGTGCATATATGTAAATTGTTTTATTTATTTTTAATAATTATGAACACACATTTTCTTTATTTTTTCCTAGTCAGCCATTCAGACATTTTAGGACACAATATTGGCTGTGTATGGAATCTGTAGTAAAGTGTAGTTTAATAAACCTATTTGAATACCAAGATGAAGTAATATAACTTTCAATACTGATACAGTGAAGAAATTTTTAAATGCAAGTGTTTACTTGCATAGTACAAAAGTACCTAAACTATCTGGTTTAAACTTTATAAAGTTATGGTATAGACTTCAACAGAATCTTCAACTGTAAAATATTACTGGTACTTCACTTTTCTTATTTTTTGGTTCATGTCACAACTATAGAGTTGGTTGAGTTTGCAGTTTTTGTTTTTAAGTTCTTTTGTTCTTTGAATTATAAATTTTGTTTTGTTTTGTTTGTTTTATTTAAAGTGAATATAGTGCTCGTGAAAGGTGCCAGATTGACAGCTTTGGAACTGAAGGACTAATTATCCACAGAACAGGTACAATATGGCCAGTGGCAGTAGAAGTCATTTCATACTGCCCTGCCAGTGTGCCTCAGATTTATTTCTTAGGAAGCCTATGTGGTATAAAGGTTTTAAGGCTCCTTCCTATTCAGTCTTTGGTAAGATTTTCAATGATGGTATCGGGCAGCACTAAGTCTATTTCCTTCCTTCTGTTTTTTCTTCCTTTTTTGTTGTTGTTTTTAATGTTGTGAATATTCTTAAGTAAAATCTAAACTACCAATTGATGAGCATCAATGAAAAAAATTGATGAATTTATCAATTAAATTGATGAATTTAAATTTATTATGAATTTAATGAATTGTAGTAGTTATTATTGGTCAGTCCTCTGAGCTGTCCATTCCTACTTAAAAATTAATCATGATTAATGATGAGACTTGCTCTCATCTTACATCTTTAAAGATGTCACCAGTATCAGTGTCTTGTTTAAATGCTTAGGAAAAAGCTTTCTAGCTTGTTTAGCTCCAGGCATAGCATTTCGCCTAATGTAAATTTTAATAACTTAATACTTCTTCATATGTGAGACAGACATCTTTTAAAACTCTGTGTTGGGCCTTGAATATTGACGTTAGCTTTAGAACAAATAAATTATCTTGCAAAACTTACTTTTAACCATTTCAAATAAAATTAAATATTTTAATTTTACTATATCACAGAGACTTCAAATATGTACTTATATACTAGGATATGTTAAATAATATATTACCTGATAAATTATTCTTCTGGGACTATTTTCATAATTTTTCAAAAAAAACTTTTGAATTTTTTCCTTTAAAGTGAAACATAGAAACAAATTTATGTACTGTAAAAATGGTTATTTATCAGATTTCTCTGAATATTAACTATCATTTAAATGTTGGAGTATTCATATTAATACATTAACAAAGTGATTTAGGTGGATCTATTCTTAAGCTAACAAAATCATTTTTCTGACTGACTTGGCTTCTTAACAGTTACATGGTATTAAAAATAACATTCTTTGTTAGCCTCAGTTGTCTTACCCATGGAGTAGAGATAATAATACTTGCTGGTTCTCCTGCTCTGAATTGTTACAGACATCAAATTAGAATTTTTGCAGGCATTTTAAAATAAATTAATAGGATAAATTTATCAATATTTTCTTTTTAAATTTGGCTTATTATGCCAAACTATAAAGTGGTATATAAATATATGGTATTATTCTCAAGGTAGTGGACTTCGGGTTTGGCCAGTTTCCTATTTTGACCCAAGTTATAACAATATTAACAACTTTTAACGAGATTGTTGTTCAGTGGCTAAGTCATGTCCAACTCTTTGTGACCCCATGGACTGCAGCATACCAGGCTTCCCTGTTCTTCACTATCTCCCAGAGTTTGCTCAAACTCATGTTAATCATATTGCTATTTCCTTAATTATACTGCAGCCCTGGTCACCACTATAAATACCAACAGTGCATTATTATTTCAGAAAACTTTGGAGAATTCAGTATTCACAATAAATGTAATATTTGCTTCATTAATTTCATGTTTTTTCCACCATCCAAACTATATAAAATATCATTAGTGTAAAATGTGTTCATTTTTATATTTCCTAATTTGAGTAGAAATTTCTTGATTGGAAGAATAAAGGCAAGATTTATCACCTAGGTAAAAGTTAGCTAACACTTCAGTTTTGAAGCAAGCATGAAACTTCTAAATAGAAGTCACAATCAAGAAATCACTAAGTTAAACTCTGTAGTTGAACATAACTAGTTAATACCTCAAAACAGAACCAGTTGTTTTTCTTAAATTGAGGTATAGTTGATATATAGTGTATCATTACATGTTTACATGTACATATCATGATTCACAATTGTTCAAGGTTATACTCAATTTACACTTATTTTATTCCTTGTGCTGTACAGTATGTCCTGGCAGCTTGTTTATTTTATACATAGCAGGTTTTTTAAATGTTCGTTTACATATTTGTCTGTGCTGGATCTTAGTTGTGGCATGTGAACTCATAGCTGAAACATGTGGGCTTTAGTTCTCTGACCAGGAATCAAACCCTGGACGCTCTACATTGGGAGTGCAGAGACACAGCCACTGGACCACCAGGGAAGTCCCTATATATAGCAGTTTTTAATCTCTTAATCCCCTATCTCTATCTTGCCCACTGGTAAGCACTGTTTTTTCTCAGTATCTGTTTTGTTTTTGGTTATTCACTATATTCACTGGTTTTATGTTTCAGAACCCAGATATAGGTGATATCATACAGTATTTGTCTTTCTTTGATTTATTTCACTAAGCATAAAAATAAAATCATTGAGGGCTGGGTAGCATCATAATTAGAAAGAAAGTGTTCTTAGTTTTAAAGCTGTATACCAAAACATGAAGATAGGTGAGATGATGTGTTATCGGGTATTTAAAAGAAAATACTTTTGCAAAAAAGAAAGAGAATAAAGTCCTTCTGAATATATTAACCTGGAAAATGTCTGTAATATTATGGGCAAAAACTAAGTTGCTTGGAAACAGCCCAGATGTCCATCAGTAGATAAATTGTGGCATATACATCCAACGAAATATTTTTCAGCCACAAAAAGGAATGAAATTACATGCTACAATGTGAATAAATCTTAAAACATTATGCTTAAGTGAAAGAAGCCACAAAGTCGCATCCTATATGACTCCATTTATATGAAATATATAGAACAAATTAATCCATAGAGACAAAATGCAAACTGGTAGTTCCAGAGACTGGGGGGAGAAAGAGGAAAATAGGAAGAAACTGGTTAATGGATAAGAGGTTTTCCTCTTGAATGGTCAGATAGAGGGTGGTAGTAGCACAACATTGCAGATGTGTACTAAATGCTACTGAATTTTTCAGTTTAAAATGGTTAATTCTATATTATGGAAATTTCACCTCAACAAATTACTCAAAAGTCACATACTAAAAATGTATAGCATAATTCTTTTTCATTAATGAAAGCTTTATAGTTAAATGTATAGATTGTAGGTATGGAAATCAGTACAGAAATGAATCTTTAAATAGAGGTAAAATTTTAAGAATGACATGTACTAGTTTGTAACAGTGATAAAGGGGATTTGGGAAGAAAGGGTACTTCAACTATGACTTTCTCTATTGTTTCAAGTGGATATATGACTTTTTGTTGTTTTTTACTTACATGTCATATAAAATAAGTTTTAAAAAAGTAAGTGACACATTCTAGTTTTCAGAATATGAGGAGTTAATATGCTTATAATAGATTCTGGAGAAAAAATTTCATTCAGTCTGCCAACAGCAAAACTGTTAACTGTGAAGAACAGAATGACTTGTAAAGAAAATTGAATGTCAAAGAAATAATTAAACTCTACTTTATGTGAAAACATTCATCAGTTCTACATTTCCTTAATAATTCTTCACGTGACATTCAGGTTTAGCTGATCAGTGTAGTGGGCAGTAATGACCCATGGTTACTTATATATAATAAAAGGTTTAATGAGTATTGAGGTGTGACTGTTCATATTTTTACCAAATATATATTAGGTTTTAAGAATATACTAATTATTCAATCTTACTGCCCCATTCACTGAATTTAATTATATTTTAGCTTTCTAGAATCATTGCTTTAAACACAGTTTCATCAAATTGTATTAGAGACATTTATGGTACTCCAGACCAAGAATTGGATGCTGTTGGTTATAAACTATCATATTTTCAAAGGTAATATATGATTTTGTCTTTTACTTGGAAATGGTTTTACCCCGTTATGTCTTTGTCTTTCCTATACTCATCTTGTGGGTTAGTTTTCAGTTTAGAATTGCAGCATTTCCTTTATGAACAAAAGGCAGGCTCATAGGAGCTCTTAACAATCTGTGATAAAACCTGTAGAATTTGTTGTGGATTTTGCTTTTAAAACTTAGGCACTGCAAATGTGTGTGGACTGGAAGCTCGGTAAATTAATAGAAGCATTCTTTGATAACAAGATACGTGAGGAGTTTTCACTAATAAGTTAATGATATGGAAAAGGTTTTGTTTAATGGTCCATTGACTTAGGGGGAATGGGATTGATCTTTTAATCCTGGTACCTAAACAGTATTTTACTTTAGTATTTATCACTTGAAATAGAAAGGAATGACAACAATTGGGAGATGGTATCCAATACCTGTTTAATTCCTGAAAAACTCTAAAACTGTCTTTCTTCTCCACTCCCAGATTGAGTTTTTCACTATATTCTAGAGGGGAAAAGGGTAATAGTGATGCCACTTCTATCTCATGCATTTTATTCTGAGTACTTCTTTTTACTCTTGTTGCTCAGTTGCTAGGTTGTGTCCGACTCTGCGACCCCATGAACTGCAGCACGCCAGACTTCCCTATCCCTCACTATCTCCCGGAGTTTGCTCAGATTCATGTCCATTGAGTCAGTGATGCCATCCAATCATCTCCTCTGTTGTTCCTTTTTCTCTTGACCTCAGTCTTTCCCAATATCTGGATCTTTGCCAGTGAGTCAACTCTTTGCTTCAGGTGGCCAGAGTATTGGAGCTTTAGCATCAGTCCTTCCAATGAATATTCAGGACTGATTTCCTTTAGCATTGACTGGTTTGATCTCCTTGGCTGTCCTAGGGACTCTCAAGAGTCTTCTCCAGCACCACAGTTCGAAAGCATCAATTCTTCAGTGCTCTGCCTTCTTTATAGTCCAGCTCTCACATCCATACATGACTATTGGCAAAACCATTGCTTTGACTATACAGACCTTTGTTGGCAAAGTGATGTCTCTACTTTTTAATATGCTGTCTAGGTTTATCATAGCTATTCTTCCAAGGAGCAAACATCTTTTAATTTCATGGCTGCAGTTTTTACTAGTCTTTACTAAAATCTCCCCAAGCCTTTACCTTCCCATCTGTCAAACTCATAGAATAAGTACTATTTTAAAGATCAAATAAGAGAGGTAATAGAGAAATTAAGATACTTAAGCTACTCTTCACAAAAATCAATGATTATAGCAATGAGAAATTCCACAAAGAAGAAACTAGCCAATATTATTTCTTTAATTTGGGGGATAGTTGCTGAACTAGAAAGTCAAAGATAATGAATTTATGGAACCTGATACATCAGTCTGTGGCCAAATATCAGTGAAATGTTTTGATTGGTTATTCAATTAGCTATCCTGTCATTATTTTATCAGTCTGATCTGCTTCAGACAAACTGTAAATATATATATATATAATTTGTTCATCACTATGTAATTAACCTTTGAGTAGATATAAATAGATTAGAGCAATGGTATAGACAATACCAAATAATTACATATTCTCTTAGACCATAATTATTTCTTCAGCATCTGCTTTATCTTATCAAATACATTTTACTTTGATGTCCCCCCCCAAAAAAAATCAGTAATTGGTCACATTTGAATGGGACTTTAATGTTTTCAAAATGTTTTCATGTCTCATATTTCATTTCATCTTCAGAAGGACCCAGAAAGACAGTTAATATATTCTGCAAATAAACTAAGACTAACCAGAAAGGTTTTGGAGACTGAATCCAATTATAATCAGTCTAAAATAATCCACAGATACAGAGGTATAAATATTTCTTGTTTCATTTAATATTAAATCTGTTTATGGCTTAACATTTCTTTCAGATTCACTATGGCTTGAGCAAACTGGTTCTGTTATGGCTTTAAGTCATGATTTATGGAACTGCCTTGTCTAAATAAGTTCTTTCCTTGATACATATAACTGACTATAATTCTTGAATGTTTTGTTTAATTTGTTTAATTTTCTGCATTTGTCATAAACGATTTAAAAAATACTGGCCAGGCTTTGGCAAACTCTTCTAATTTTGCCTAATGTAAAGGTTATATACCAGGATAAGCCTCCTTTTATCAACTCCTACCTGGGACCTGATCTTGACCATAAGCATATGCTTACACTTAGGGCTCTCCAGCTCAACTAAATCCATTTCTTTAAGGTTTGGCCTCTGTTATCCAACTGTTTACTTTGCAGTATTTCTTACAGTTCCAATTCTTGGCTGGTAACCATGTCCCATTTGCTGCTTTCAGTCTAGTACTGATAACCAGTTTTTAAAGAAACTGAGTATTAGAATACAATAAAATACAAACTATTGATTTAATTTAACCTTTTGATCAAAAATCACTTGAGCTTCAGGATTACCATTAGGAAAATCTCTTACCATTATAAAATATTTTAGATCAGAACGATGTAAAAGATTGAACTAAATTTGTATTGAGCACAGCTTGAGTTTGTTGGGGTTTTTTTCCTTGCAGTTTCTGTCATTTAAAGGTATGGGGGGAAATTACATTATTTGCATTTTGGATAAAGAACAGCATACTTGTGTACTGTATCACTTAGGTATATGCAAATTATAATATTTAAACAATTTTTAATTTCCCCCTCTCTTCCAGGTTTTGCCCCTGATTTGAATTAAATTCAGTTAACACAAATATAAGTTGTGAAAGTGTTAGTCGCTCAGTCGTGTCCAACTCTTTGTGACCCCAGGGACTATATAGACCACCAGGCTCCTCTGTCCATGGAATTCTCCAGTGGTCATTCTCTTCTCCAGGGGATCTTCCCAACCCAGGTCTCCTACATTGCAGGCAGATTCTTTACCATCTGAACCACCAGGGAAGCCTTTATAACAGGAATCAAATACCTTCTCTCTAAAGTCCTTAATGTTCATTACCCATTTTTAGCTAGTGGCATCTTTACATTTATTTGTTCACTTGTTCATGGACCAGGTAGTCTGATTAGGTGAACAACCATAATACCACCAACTGTTAGATGGAATATCAGTTTTTGTATTCAAACTTACCAGTTTCAAACCTGTCATTTAAAGAGAGATTTTGAATATATTTATTTTTGAGTGCACAGGAATATTGTTTTAATGGTTAACACCCAGAATTTTATTTAAATCAAACTATTTTGTATCAGATTATCAAATTGCGACTGCTCAGGAATTTTATCTAATACATCATTTTCTTTCATAGTATGGTTTATGATGAATGTCCATATGGAGTATTTAGTTGAGAAGGCATTTGTGATTTTTTAAATTCTGTAATTGAGATGATGCTATTAAGTATGTCAATCTTCCTTTTCTAAGAAAATGAACAGTGTGACTATGTGGTGAAGTTGTTGACAAAAATAGTGAAATTAGAACCACTGACCAGTTTTATATTATTTAAGCTATTTAATTTCACCCTCTTTGGGTTTTTTTTTTTTTTTTTTTTACCGACTGGAAATAGATTTTAGAGAAGACCATGGTAATTCAGTGTATTCAGTTTATGCTAGGCCATGGACTGTGATCTAGGGATATAGAAAGCAAAGTGATCCCTGCTCTTGAGAAACCCCAATCTAACAGAGGTGGCAAATAAGTAAACCAAAAACAATCCAGTGTGATAAGTGCTATGTAAATACACACACACAAACACACGTACTTACATATATGTAAATATGGTTGTGGAAGCACAGAAATGAACACCATGTGTATTTACATTGTACTGAGTTGACTTTTAAAGACAGTGAAATAGTTAACAAGGCAAAAGGGAAAGGTTTTCTAGATGGAAATAACAGTATATATTTAGTTAGTCATACAAAATTTCTATTTATAGGTCAAAATCATTAGATATTGATTATCTGATAGGTTCAAACTAATGAGAAGGGTGGTCACAGGTACTCGATTATAAAAGATTGTGTATTCTTGACTAAAAATACATATCCAGCCCTATTTCATATTAGAGAAATTAATGAGAGAAACTTGTAAATGGGAGTCTCAAAATCAAGCTGACAGCAGAAAGAGGGAGAAACATTTTGGATTATATATGGTGGATTATTCATAATATGGTTTCTCATAAGTACTGTCATTAATAGAGATAATTAGCAGTATTGACACTAATGACTTCAGTATTACATAGAAATTAATTTTCTAAATAAGTTTGTTTTTTAAAGCAAAACTTTAAACCTTTTTCTTTTGTACTTTAATCACTATACACCCATTCTTGTCTCAAATACAGTGTTCTAAACATAATTTAACCTTTTTTTTTTAATGGCTTGGAGTTCTTATAAAGCATCAGTTTGTGTTTTGTGCTTTAACACAGCAGTTACAGTTCGTTGTTATTGGAGTGTGAGGAACTGTTTGAGTTGACAAACTTGCCTTTGCTTTACTCAACTTTTATTGTCTTGATCTTGTATGTTCCTATCATTAGTCACTTAAGGAGACCTAATGAGTCCAATTTACTAAATTATTTTACATTCAGCTTTCTTGGTAAGAGATTTAGGGATGGAAAAAGAAGTGCTTGAGCTTTTATGTATACCTTTTTGCTGTATTTCTTCATTTAATTTTGGGTTCATGGATGAAATGTGAATAGTTAATGTAAGTCCAAATAAGTAGAGGTATTTATGTTAAGATTTTTTAATGTTATTAATCTATTACATTCATATTATTTATAACTCTTTTGAGTATTGGTAATTATCACTAATTTATGTGTTAAGGTTTGGGGGGGTGATCCAAAGGAATTAATTGGGCTTTCTCAACTTGGAACTTCTACATAGAATCTACCAGATTAATGCATCCAAAACAAAGACTGAACTGCTCTGTAATAAGAAGGACAAATCATCATTGATTTATCACATTTAAATTTAGATGTGTACAAATGGCCTAGGTCAAAGACAACTAAGCCATTTAGACATTATGTCTACTTTCATTGGGTCCATGTCCAAAAACACAGTGCCTTGCGGTGCACTTTAGATGGCTGTGATTCTCCAGTGACTGTGTTTTCCCCATGGAGATTTTCCTAGTTTCTAGAAAGCTGTTTAATTAGTTTCCAGGATAAACTTCTTTTATTTCCAAGTGAACAGAGTCAGTGAAATTTTATCCTGACTCCCTTGATACTTGTAATTGTTCATATAATCAAAAGAGCATGTAACATATATAAAATAAAAATACCTTTGATAGGTAACCTGTGTAGTATATAAGCAGTTCCAAGACAAATGATAATGTAAAAAACTTTGAAATATGCTATCCAGTTGTGATTTAAATTTTTATGTAAGTTGAAGGTTTTATGTAAATGTTAAAATATAAAAGCTAATGTGTAATGATTAAGTAAATTTTAGCAGCATATTTTTGTTTATTCCTTGGTATTCTTTTAAAGATATCTGATTTTCATATCTTAATCTTCACTTGTTTTAAACAGTGAAAATGGTTTAGTCTGATGCTGGTAAGGTACATAAGTTGTTTCTCCTCCAGAGTGAAGTCACCCTGCTGAGAAATGAAGTGGCGCAGCTGAAGCAGCTTCTTCTGGCTCATAAAGATTGCCCTGTGACCGCCATGCAGAAGAAATCTGGCTATCATGGTGAGTAATGGTCCATTACCTACAGCCTCAGGCTGTATCAGTGAAATGCTGCCGGAGTGAACCAAGCTACCATTAAAAAAATGGAGACTGCAGTTCTAATATTTAATATTAAATATCAGAAGTTCTGCAGAGTTATTATGGAATGGAGGATATACTTCTCAGAATCTAGAGTTTTAAAATTTTCCTGTATCTAGCTTTTTCCTAGAGATTACTATAGATCAGCAAAATGAGTTGGTTAATAATTTAAAATATAGTGAGAGTATTTATGATATTTTGTTTATATTCTCAAGAGTAATATTCTTCTTGGATTGACAGACTGAACACTTCTTTTCCAGCCTCCATTTAGTAATTTTTTAAAAAATTAACTATCTTTACTTAACAATTAGTAACAGATCCTATTGTTACAGTAGCAGATCCTAGTGTTCTTCCTTAGATAATCAGCATTGTGCAGTTTTATTGTTCTGAATGTTTATATTGAGCCTTCTATAGTTACAGAAATACTAAACTAGAACAGTATTTAAATTATCTGCTTGTAAGTTTCCTCTTAAATATTTCACTTTAAAATGAGTTGGGGTTTTTTTCTGTTTTCAGCATTTTAGAGGTTAATTATGCTTTCCTTCTTGTAATGTCCTTTTTTGATAAGATGCACAATGTTGGAACCAGCTGTTAGTCTTGAATAAATGGCCAATTTTGTCCATCGTATACAAATTTGTAACAAATAACATAGCTGGGAATGCATTAGGAACATTCATAATATATAACCCACAGCTTTCATTTTTATGATTTAGCGATATTTCAGGATATTTGTAAATGTGAAGATTGTTTCAACCATATGTATCCACTTCATTTTAATTTGCCAGTGTCAGTAATTCAAAGGAAAGAAACATTTTGTATTGGATGCAAACAGTTCCTCAGGTGCTCACGATAAAACTTAATGGCCACCATCTTTACTTGTAGTCATTGTAAGCAGTTTCATCAGAATGGGCAATATTTTTTAATTTAAAAGATTCAGTAGATTTAGCAACTCTCTATGCCATATATATTTAGAACATTGATTTCTGTCAGTTTTGAGCAAATAAATCTCAGTCCTTTGATATCTCATCATTTTGACAGGATTGTGAAACACATTGTGGAGTAAATTGGAACCATATAGAATTATGTTTGGGGTTGTATTAACAATGACTGCTGCGGGGATGAGGCCATTATGGCTCCCATCTGACTTAACAACATAATTTCCTTTAGAAGCTACTGAGTTCAGCATTATGCATACATGATTTTCTTAACAAGAGAGCTCTCCTTATTTTGATAGTTCAAAAAGAAATATACAAGTAATTCTATAAAAGTAGAAGGCAAATTAACTCTTAAGTTGCATTTAATTTATAATTATCTTCAATTTTTTAATCTAAATTTATTGGATAACCCCAACAGTTTTATCCCTGTTATCCAGGCAGTATATCCTCAGCAAATGCAAACCATTTATTTATTTGAAGCCATAAAGATTTTTTTCAAGTGTACAGATGTATAGGTTTGCATGCTGTATCCTCAAACTGACTGCAAATCTAGATTAATAAGTTTTTAGTGAAGATATACAAGGTTATGGAAAATGTAAAAAATAAGACATTTCGGAGTTTTGGAACAGTTCCCATCTTTTTTCCTGTCTAGTTATCTATATAGTCAAACTGATATCAGTATAGTTCTTGCATAAAGTTAGTTCTCTTCAGCTCTACAAATTGGATTTTGTAGAAATTTCAAAATTTTTATTTTCAAATTTGAACTCTGGAAAAAAATCTGACTTCTCTGTTTAATAGTCAAGGTAAAGATTGCTTAAGTAAATGTTTAAATCTCAGAAAAAAGGTGGAGAAATTTACAAATACATAACTGTTCATCATATTATAGTACATAGCAATTGCTAATGATAATGAGCTATAATACCAGTTCTTTCAAAACACTGTGATTCAAAACTAAGGTTTAGAAGAAATTAAGTAATATGACAAAATCTGGCAGGTAAAAGTGACAATATAAAGTCACACAGTCATAGGGTCTCTTTTTTAACAACGGAAAGTCCCATATCCTAGGAAACCTTTCAGTCATGAGAAAACCATGACATTGATTTTAACGGTCAAATAGTATAAAACATCAGAGAAGGCACTGGCACCTCACTCCAGTACTCTTGCCTGGAAAATCCCATGGACGGAGGAGCCTGGTAGGCTGCAGTCCATGGGGTCGCTAAGAGTCAGACACGACTGAGCGGCTTCACCTTCACTTTTCACTTCCATGCATTGGAGAAGGAAATGGCAACCCACTCCAGTGTTCTTGCCTAGAGAATCCCAGGGACAGGGGAGCCTGGTGGGCTGCCATCTGTGGAGTCACATAGAGTCAGACACAACTGAAGTGACTTAGCAGCAGCAGTATATGACATGGAGAAGGCAATGGCAGCCCACTCTGATACTCTTGCCTGGGAAATCCCGTGGACGGAAGAGCCTGGTAGGCTACAGTCCATGTGGCCACTAAGAGTCAGGCACGACCGAGTGACTTCACTTTCACTTTTCACTTTCATGCATTGGAGAAGGAAATGGCAACCCACTCCAGTGTTCTTGCCTGGAGAATCCCAGGGACGGGGTAGCCTGGTGGGCTGCCGTCTGTGGGGTCGCAGAGAGTCTGACACGACTGAAGTGACTTTGCAGCAGCAGCAGTATAAAACAGAAGAGAAATATGAAAATATTTTTAATGTTTGGATTCCATGAAGAATAAAACATAAGAGTAATCTTATTGCCATTAATTCATCTTCTCTAAACTTCTGGGCATAATTAACAAACATAGTTGTTCTATAATCATAAGTGGGAAGCAAAGCTTATTAAACCCTAAATGTGAGTTCATATTTTCATGAATGAAAATATGTATAAACATTAGTGGAACTTCAGAGAGTGAATTATCAAACAACTGGTTTCTTTTGGTTTAAGTAGTGCAAAAAATGGCTCTTAGAGTGTAGTAAGATCTCTTGTATTTTTCTATCATTTGTGATTTACACTAGTAATTTTTCTCCACTTACCATCTCGAACTGGACATGGGTACAGCTGTATCACATTAACAAAGGTATTTTATACATAATTTATAAGTTAGTACCTGATTCTTTGTACAGCCTAAAGATTTGTTTTACCTAATTCTGAAAACCTGGAGAAAGATACACCTGTCCCTTATCACTTGTTCATTTTGAGTCCATCGCCCACATTGTATATTTACATTTCCTTATACCACTTGTCACAGATGGCTCTATTTCTGAAAGCCTTTATACCCTTAGAACTTAGAGACGAAGGTCATTTTGTTATCATGTTGAATAGTGGTGAAATAGAGGGCTTTTTACTGTTATCTCCAGTTAAACTGTTATTTGCCAGTGTTTTCTTTGAATGCATTATTATTGTATTGGCTATTTAACTGAATTGTAAATATTTTATAACATTCATTGTTGCTTAATCAGAAAAGTACCTTTATGCTTTATATAATTTTAAAAAGGATTACTGATTGTGTGTGTGTGTGTTTTTACTGTATCTTGACACCAAATTTTTATCCAGTGGTGCAGTTTTGTATTTAAAGCAGATTTATAGAGATGGTGAGATTCTTTCAGAAATGCATGAATTTGAGGCAAAAGTATCAAAATTCTGTAAGGGTTACTATATTTTAGAAAACCCTCAAAAGGAAGAATTATATTTGAACTAAAGTTGTGCTTGCCAGATTCCTCCCCCTCTATCTTCTACATTACAAATCACTGGGTAAGTCCTGCTTCATGGGGTCCACAGTCTTAATAATTGACTTTCAGAATAAGCACCTGGCCATCAGCAAGCAGGCCAGTATGTATTCTCAGATTTCATAGAAAGCCAGCTTATTGTCATTTCTGAACACTAAATAAAAATTATTTTAATACCAAATGCAAAGTGGAAAAGAACACATCCTGTGTAACACTATGTTTAAAGTGTTCAAAAATAAAGCTGAACGACACTGTTTAGAGATTTATACCTATCTGGTGAAACTTCAAAGAAAAAACAAGAGAATGATAAAAGGAATACATATAAAATGGTGATTACCTTCGGTGAAGAGAGGACCCTCCAGGTCCTCTCAATTAACAAGTGTTAATTAGTCTTTAAGTTGGGAATCTGAGTTCACAGGTGTTGATGCTATCAGTTGTCTCATAACTTGCATACACTGTAACTATTTGTGGGTGTTATACAAACAGAATTATTGGTTTCTCTTCTGTGAAAATAAGGTGTAGATTTGTTGTTCAAGCCAAAAAATTGATAGATTTATTTTCATAAATATTTAAAATGCCCTATCTCCTGTTTTATATAGATTTTTATTTGAATCTCAATGCATGCAACTATAACAGCTGGTGGCATTTAGATTCTAAATATTGCTTATTCTCATATGTACAGATCATTAGAATCAGGTGTAATAATCATCCATTGCTGCAGTAGATAAAAAGTCAGAATAAATATAGTTCTGCAGAGGGAATTATTTGAAGACATAATTTGTATGTTAGAATTCATTTTGATTATGTATATGCTTGTACATTTTCTAACCTTTTAATAAGAATAACAAAACCAGTCTGTTGGCCTACATGTCAAATGTGTTGCTGGGTGTTTCATTTTATCTATAAGAGACTTATCTCTCAAATTCCTACTTAATTTTCTTAACACTTTTTTTTTCCATTTATTTTTATTAGTTGGAGGCTAATTACTTTACAATATTGTAGTGGTTTTTGCCATACATTGACATGAATCAGCCATGGATTTACATGTGTTCCCCATCCCGATCCACCCTCCCGCCTCCCTCCCCATCCCATCCCTCTGGGTCTTAACACTGTTTAACAAATAATTCTTCAGCTCTGTTTTACTGGGCATTAAGGTGTCTCCATGCGCATGCCTGTGACTTCATTTGACTTGTTGCAGGCAAAATTGCCTACTTCATGACTTATAGCCACCTTTCTGTTACTCAGGTACTGTCATACCAGCTTCTCTAAACTGATTGTGTAAAATGCCATCTAACTTTTTATTCTGTACATTGACTCAGCCTGATAAATTTTTACAACTGTTCTAAGAAACTGAGTAGTTTTCTTTTTTCCACTCAGCTGCTGATAAAGATGATAGTTCAGAAGATTTGTCAGTGCCGAGTAGTCCACATACCGAAGCTATACAACATAGTTCTGTCAGCACATCCAATGGAGTCAGTTCAACTTCCAAGGCAGAAGCTGTAGCCACTTCAGTCCTCACCCAGATGGCGGACCAGAGTACAGAGCCTGTGCTTTCGCAGATTGTCATGGCTCCTTCCTCCCAGTCACAGCCCTCAGGAAGTTGATTAAAAACCTGCAGTGCAGCAGCTTTAGATACTCATTAGTGACTTCAAAGGGAAATCAAGGAAAGACCAGTTTCCATTTATGCGAAATCTGTGGTTGTAAATTTTTTTTTTTTACTTGAAATTAAATTTGACTCTAAAGTTGGTGTAGCAGCAGTTGATGATCAGACTGAACAAGTTTTTAGTCTCTGGAAAAAGACTGATTTTGCTTTTTTTATAAATATTGTTAGATTTATTAATTTTTCTGTGCTCAATGTGTAAATTGTATGATAATTCATTGTGGTTTATTTCACTTTTAATTTGGGGGTGTTTTAATAAATGGGGGTGTTACTGAATCTCTCTTCCTACTTCCATTTCTTTTGACCACCTCTTAACCCTCAACTACGATGGTAATTTTGTTATATCATTTATACCAAAGTTCTGCATAGTCCCTATTGACTTTGTAATGTTAACAAGGTCATAAAGCACTAGCTAGAGGAAGAAATTTTCTTTTAATCTTTTTGCCTTTTATTTTGCACATTATGCAAAAGGAAGAATATTACCGAACACTTTTTAAGTGAGTGAAATGTGGTAAAAGACATACAGTGCTTTTATGCACACTCTTAATCTTAAGATCAGTAGTAGTGCATTTTAAGATTTTAAGTAAGCATGAATATTGGAATCCTTTATCATTTCAATAATGACTGTTTTTCAAGTCTTAAATTCAGTATTTTAAATCCTATGTTTTGAGGCTAACAAAATATGAAATTATATAAAGTACAATACAGGGTTATCAGATACCTAATAATTTTTTGATATTAGATTTTTGTTTTTTTTTATTTTTTGCAGATTTCAGGTTTCAAAATGAGAAGTTTATGCATAATCAAGTAAGGTATGGTTGCCAGAAAAGCCTAAAAATTACTACTTAGAAAATTTAAGACTGTTTACCCCCATTGTCTTGTACTTGCAAGCTAACTTGTACTTATTCTTGTGGAAGCACTGTCATCTTTTAGTAGCAAATTTTGATAACGTTTCTCGTGGGAAAAAATCAGTATCTATCTTTAGAACAATGTAATTATAATGTGGGAAACAAGAGTGAGTGAGAGAGTGTGAGTATGTGTGTATGTGTGTGTCTTTCAATAGTTTATGCCAGCAATCTCTGCTTGAATGTTTAATGATGCCTTCGGTGTGATGCTGGCCAATAGATGATTGCAATTTAAGATGTCATTACTGTGCAGGCTTGGATAACTAACATTCCATGATGTAGTTTGTTTCTGATGAGATGATTGTAGGTACACTTTTCTCATTATCCAGTCATCTGTGGGATACTGAGTTTTCTAATGTGCCATTATCTATTTTTATTCTGCAGTTATGTTCAAAATACAGTACAATATTTTAAAATAGACGAAATTGTTAAAAATAAAGTAGTAGATGTGTGTAAGAAAACTTTGTAAAATAGTTATGAGTCCTCCCCAGTAGCAACTTCTGGCATTCAAGCAGGATTCCATTATGTAAATATCTGTGACACATTTATAATAAGTGGTGTGGTTTGTCCTGCATCCATACTACACTATTTGCTCCAGTCCCAGTGCCGTCTCCTATGAGACTGACACTAAAACCTGTATGAAATATCCTTGACAATTCAAGGAAATAGCCCACCTTGCCTAAGTTCCGAACTGGGAAACATTCAGATTATACAAATGACATTTCAGGACTTTTAAGTATGAAGATAATAGGAATTTTATTGTTTGGCTTATAAAAAATGAGAGCATTTTTGGTTGATAATTCTACTTCTAAAGTTTTTTTTTTTTTAACTGATTTTATAATTTTCAGGTACTCAATTTCTAATCATGACTTTGCCATAGTTATGCTAAGGAGTTGATCTCAAAGGCACAAAATATGAATTTTGCAAGAAGACTGTTTTTTTTATTGTAGTTTGGATGGGTTAGGAAAAGCCTCCATTTTTCATTCTCCTAAGTCAGTGCATTTTTCTTAAATTTTATTATTTATGCAAGTTAAAGTTCTTTGATAACAGGAATTCTTGCAACTGTAAAATAAAACTACATAGATGTAAGAAGTCATGTAAACGGTTAATGAGCTTATTACCAAGGTTAGCAAAACTCATTGTAAATCAGTCTGTACTCAGCAAGTAAAAATCATTATTAGTTGTATAAACACAAATTCCATTTTGACTTTCAGGATGTCACACTACTTCTGTACCTAGCATTTTGAGTCCTTATATTTGCAATGTTACACAAACTGTACTATTTTCTTTTATGTGCAGTTTGCATGAGTAAACCATCAAAGAATAAATTCTATCTTTAAATTATGTTCCTAATTTGCTTGTTCTTACCTGTCTTTCCTAAAGTAAGATTACTTGATAATGATGTTTTTCTCCTTCAGAATGTTTATTACTTGAGAAGAACCTAATATTCTGTTTCCTGTGATAAAATTAATTTCTTCTCCAAGACCTTTCACAGCTGCAGGGTCATCCAGGACTCTTTCTTCTTCTCTGCATGCACTTTAAGCCCTATCCATACAAAAGGAACCTTTAAGTCTCCAGCCCGGAATATTCCCTTACCCACACACAGAGTTACTACACACAGATGCACCAGCCTTTGGTTTATCTTGGTAACTGCCTGTGAAAACAACTCTTTCACTCAGAACTGTATAATCTTCCCTTACCCTACCTTCAAACACACTGCTCCCATAATGTTTCATAAATCAATTGATAACCACACCATCCTTCCAGTTGCTGAAGTCTGAACAACCTTGTTCTCATCGTTGATTCCTCTCTTCTCACCACTCACATCCAACACATCAGGAAATGCTGTTACTTTACCTTCAAAATAATACAGAATTCAACCACTCATCATTCCCAGCGCTATCCCCCTGCTCTGTGCCCGCATCGTTCCTCGCCCAGAGTACTGTGTACCTCACTTCTTTCACCCTGTCTGCTACAGCCCATCCTCAGTCCAGGAGCACCCTGAAGCTTCCCAAACACACATCAGGTTACAGCGCTTCTCTGCTCCAAATTCTAGAGCGGCTCCTCATTACATTCAGAGCTGGAGCCCTTACGGAGCCTACAAGATCTGTTCCCCCAACTGCATCCCATCACATCTTTAACCTCGTCTCCTACCACACTGTGAGCACTACTAGGTGTCCATTTTTCTTCTAGGCACTTGGCATACACTAAGAGCCAAAACACAAAAGCCCCTGCTTTGGGGAAGCTTACGTTCTAAGTGGGGAGAGGGGTTTTGGGGAAACAGAACGCTGAGTATCAGTACATCATCTTACTCGTCATAATAGAAGCCAGGAGTGCTAAGTGAAGAAACGGACATACCAGTTGTGCTGGAGAGCACTGGGGTGATGGTTCAGCCTTCTCTCTCAGAGCCAATCCGAAAAGATACAAAGAAACACGTGGTTATTTTTTAATTTTAAGGTATACATTTCATAAATGTGCTTAATCTAAATTACGTGCTATCAAAGACTTCATGAAGACAAACTGATGTGTTTCTGTAACAAAGCTTGACTAATGATACACTGAGAAACTACACATTTGCTTTGACTTATTTCAGAGGACAGGAAAGATAAGTAAATTCCACAGACAAGCGTTTAAGTGTAGTTTTACTCATTCTCCATCTCTGAAACTATAGTTTCATGTTTGACAATAATAGTTTATTTGTAAGAATGTAATTATGAGAGAATCCTATTTACTGCTGGGACTTCATCTTATAAAAATATATACATATACACACACACAGAGAGACATGTATACACTAAATACCTAAAGAGCACAGTTATCAAACCAAGTAGAAGCAAATTTTAATCTGATGTTTCTAGATTACCTCGACCACAAGATAATACTTCTGAAGCAATTAAAATTATACCATTTTATGTCTGATATAATTATGAAAAATCACTTCTTTAAACTTTTAATAAATACATTTTTTCCTGTGATTATCATACTTTTTTAAGTGAAGGTCTTTCCAGCTATCTAAAATTAGACTGAGAGTTGGGTTTTCACTGAAGCAAAGTATTAAGATCCTTCTGTGTGGGAAGGAAAAACTCACAAAAAGTAGAATAAGGATTTTTCTGGAGAAATAAATAGTTCTACCTTTTAAGTAAATGGTGAGTTGCCAATTATACATTGCCATAGAAGAAGTAAAATTAATGGAAATGTTTCCAGAACTAAACATTTATTAGTTCTGAAATAACCAAGGCCATGTGACATTGGAACCTACAATAAAAGAAAATAGTTTTATTCTCTTGTAGCAGTCCAGCGCACCAAATATTGTAAAATTTTCAAAAATATCATACCACTCAGACTAGAAGGGTTCTGAAATTCAACAATGGGCCATTAAGTTGTCTCTTTTTTCCTCAAATGGACATGCAAATTTTTCCAATGACTATGAAAAGAGAATGGCATTGGCACAGCATTGTCATGGTCACGGTGCTTCTCTTGCTTTATTTTCCATTAGATTTTACATTTGAGAAATAATTCACTGAGCCAGAACCATGGTTTTATCATGCATTACCTCAATTAATTGGGAAAGTACTTATGATTTTGAATTTCATTTTTGACTATCAAGTCAAAGGTAGTTTTACTTTATTCACTTAATTTTACAGTAGGTTTTGCTTTCTATGAAAGTAGACAAAAGAGACTGTTCCCTCAGAAGAGCTCTTTTTAAAATTATTTTCGCTTTAGTGATTTTTTTTAAAGCATGTAAATTAAGAAATGCTGTTTTCCATAACCTGACACAAAAAGCATTCAAATGAAGTTTACTTAACAGAATTTAAGCTGATAGAGTTGTCTGAGTTTCTCACGACTGGAAGGAAAGAAATGCATTGCGTGATGCTTGAGAAAATGCAAAAGCCCGTCACTGCCATCCTCAAAAAGAAGCCCTCTGCACAGTACCGTGTCAATTGATGGTTTTATTTTCTTCTCACCAATACTTCTTTAAATCTCCCATGTAACTAAACCACAGCTAAATTCCTTTATTTTTAGGCGATGTGCTTGTTAA